CCCCAAAACCCCAAAACCCCAAAACCCCAAAACCCCTTTCCAGTTGAGGTAGATTGAAATGATAAACGTCAGAGCTGGCCTTTCTTATGCTTTCTTAGTATTTATAGGTAGTGTCTGCAACGAATTCTCAGTTTTTCACAAGCCTTGTTTCTTTTGGTAAGCTTGTGAAAGGTCTTTCCATACCAGACCAGTTTCCGAGCCATACTTTTAGTAATAAAGAGTGAGTAATCACTAAGACCTTCTTGTATTGATCTTCTGGAAGTCTATTCTTGATGTGCTTTTCGATATATTTATTTTACCTAAATTATGAATAATTTTTGTTACTTTCTGAACCCTGTCATATGTGCCCTCTACAATTTCTGCACTCTTTGGGAACCGCTCTTCTGAAGACGCTCTAATGAGCTGTTCGATCTCTTGCTTACTCTTGCCTTGAAACTGAGACCTAAGCTCAGGTTGGATATCTCTTCAATAAAATAGTTCATTATAGTAGCCTGATTTGGTCTTCATTAAGGATGAATCTAAATTTGGGAAATATTTCTGGTACTCATTTACTAGTTTATCCTCCCAATTATCTGTCATTTCACTGACTCCTACCAGATGCTCTCTAATTCCAGGGTGAATTACGTAATTGATCTTCTCTTTATTCGGATGATTTCTTAAAAGGTAATATGCTGTCTGAATAGTTCTCTTCAGAGGACTTATAAGTACCAAATCTACATCCAAATCCTTGGCATATTTGGAAGCATTCTTTGCTTGTTGGATGCCGAATTCTGAAAGAGGCGTATCCCTATGCTTCTCGTCATACTGTATCTTTAACACGTCCCTGGCATATCCGTGCTCTGCAATGAATGTGCTATAAAGTTTAGGAAATTTCTTGCTAAAACTTACTCATGTTCAAGGTTGAAAACCGTATTTGCATGTCTGACAAGGATAACCTTTGAAGACTTCTGGATGTTCTCAATGTCATATTCAGGCTCTTCAAAGCCTATAGGGACATGGAATTCTTTCCCATTCAGACGAACCACTCTTCAAAATTTGTGAACTGTGTTTTTAAGTATAGATGGAACTTTTTTAGAGATCATGTTAGTGTTATTTATATTCAATTATTTAAAAAAGTTTGGGGTTTTGGGGTTTTGGGGTTTTGGGGTTTTGGGGTTTTGGGGTTTTGGGG